GAGAAGCAGCCAGTGCTAAGTCAGATCAAGACTCAAGACCAAGTGGAATGCTGCATGTGGTGCTGTACTATTGAGATACCTGCTTTTGTCATCACTGTAACAGAAAAAGCTGTTGAAATAGAGGTACCACTGACTGCTGAGACCAACTGGAATATTGCCTGCCTGGTCAGTATAAGTGTGCAAGATCCATCACCTGAGGACTGCTGAGAGGCATCAAAGAGGACCCGACTGGAGAGGCTTTTCTCATGGTCAGTGTCATTAGCAGTCAGCGCACTGAGTTCGCATTCATAAGATGTCAATTTCTCCCTTCCCCAAAGGCTTTATGTATTCAACACAATCCACAATCTCCAAAGGCTTTTTTTGGTAGAAATTGGCAACCCGATTCTAAAATGTACATGGAAATGTAAAGAACCTGGAAGACTCACAACTTTGAAAAAGAACAAAACTTTTGTGGGAAAATTCCATTACCTTTTCATTTCATTTTTTACAAGTGTTTGTGGGCCCCTTGTACAGCCAATTATTTACAACAAAGAAGTCAAGGTAACATGATGGAGAGAGGGTCCTAATAAAGTATGTGGAACAACTGCATATCCACATATAGAATAAATGGACCCTGATCCTTCATGCACCATGTTCAGGAAAAAAGTCTTCAAATGTATCACAACACCTATACATACATACATTATATATATATAGTTGAAACTGTGAAGCTACTAGAAGAAAGTACAGGGGGAAATTTGATGACCTTACATTGGGCAAAGATTTTTTTAGATCACATACAAAACATACAGGCCATGACAGAAAAAAATTGATACACTGAACTTCATTACAATTACATTTTTTTATGCTCTTCCAAAAGACGTTGCTAAGAAAAGGAAATAACAAGACATAAATTGGGAGAAAAGATATGTCTGATACAAAGACATACCCAGAATATATAAAACAAAAAGACTTACCAACCAGTAAAAGTTAACTGGGCAAAAAATCTGAACAGCCGCTCCACCAAAGAAGAAATATGAATGGCGAATAAGCACGCGACGAAGGAAAGGCTTGGCTGCATCAGTCACTCGGGAAGCCCAAGCTAAGACCCAGCTAGCAACACATCCCTACTGGAATGTCCAAGACACAACACAACAGACAGTATCAATTTTCTGATTGAGAATGTAGACTAACTGACACTACTAGTACATTGCTGATGAAAATTCATAATGGCACCGCCATCGTGGAAAACAGTTTTAAGAGACAATTTCTTAACAAATTAAATATATACTTACTGTAAAAATCAGAAACTCCACTACTAGGGATTTACTCAAGAGCAATTAAAATATCTGTTCATACAAAGACCTTAGCATATGTGTACAGTATGTGAATGTTTACAGCAACTTTATTTTTAATAGCACCAAACTGGAAATAATCTACATGGCTATCAACTACTTGAATATATAAACAAATTATGGTACATCCATAGAATACTACCAAGCAATAAAAAGGAATAAATTCCTGATATACACAATAACATGGAAAACTTTCAAAAGCATTATGCCAAGGGAAAGAAGCCAAATGCAAAGACTATATACTGCATCATTCTATTGATAGGACATTCTGGAAAATGCAGAAGTATAATCAGGAATCCAATCCATGGTTGCCAGGGACTGGAAGCAGAAGAAGAGTACTGACTATAAAGGGGCGCAGGGCAACTTTGGAAGAGATTAAAATATTCTGTGTTTTGAATGGGGTGGCAGTTAAATGACTGTGTGTAATTCTCAAAACTCAAAGTTAGATCTCTAGAAAGGGTGAATTTTACTGTGGGTAAATTTTTATACCTCAATAAAACTGAATTTAAATCTCATCTCCCACTAAAATCTGTTCCTTGGGAGAAAATGCATGATAAAAGATTGGGTTTAAGTTTGGGAGGGAGACAGACTTTGGTTCGATTGTCAGCTCTGCGTTTATTGACTGTCTATCTGGTAAGTTCCTTGCTTCTCAGAGCCTCTGAGTTAGGACTCAGACAAGACCTCCTCGCTGTGATTTAAGACTACAATCTAGTGACCATTTCCTGAGCAGACCCCAATTCTTCAAATCCCCAGTGGATTTTAATCACTAACTTAAAGTGCCTAAACAAGAGCGACAACGGTATAGTTTGAGAAGTTGGACAATACAACCTTAAATCATTCCAGGATCAAAAACAGGAGAATCATGAGGCAAAGGACAGAGACACCCTCACCCCCACCCTTCAACAGGTTCCCAGGAAGCCCTGGTTCCCATCGGCTGCTGGAGGCTGGGTGCCCGGGAGCGTGAACATTTTTCACTCTGCAAACAAAGGTCCTGTGGAACAGCAGTGACAGGGAAAGCCCTGGGTCTGCTAAAACCAGGAGGAGGCTCCTTCTCAACTACGGATTCAATTCCCAGAAGGCTAGGAGGGACCTCCAGCTTGCTTGCCCAGGCTCAGGCTTCTCATTTTGATTTTTAAAGCTGGCACAGATGTGGCAAGAGCTAGATACAGAATCTAGAAAAGAAGCCGTGCGGGCACGGTCTCAGTGTGTGAAGAGCAGAGGGCTTTCTTTTCCTGGTGTGTGAGGCGCCCGCTGAGTTGGCCCTGACTCACAGCGCCCCTGGGTCCAGCAGGACGGACCCCGCACCACCCTGACACTCGGTGCTCCGTGGGAGCCCCTGTTGCAGTCACCGTGTCAAATCCATCTTCTGGAGAGCCCTGCTCTCGTGTGTGGCTGCCCTCCTACTTGGCTACGGTCCTTCTCCCAGGCCTGGTCTCTCTGACAACATGGCCCAAGTCCATGAGACGGTCTCACCACCACAGCTTCCAGGCTGCGTCCTGGCTCCTTCTGCCAAGAGAAATTCATTTTTTTCTCTTCGGGCAGATCCTGGTATATTTCCTATTCTTCAACAACCACCCTCATCAAAGGCATCAGCTCTTCTCTGGCCTTCCTTGGTCACCATCCATTTTCACATGCATCGGAGATGACTGACATGACCGTGGCCTGGCTAGGCGGCCCTTAAGCAAAGGAGTGTGAACGTTCTATGTATTCCTCCAAGAGAAAAACTCCAAACGCACTGCCATCAAGTCTATCGGGGCTCATAGTGACCCTACAGGACAGAGTAGAACTTCCTCTTTGGGTTTCTGGGACTTTACATCTTTGTAGGAGTAGACAGCCTCCCCCGCCCCCTACAAAGGCACGGGTGGGTTCCAACTGATGACCTTGTGGTTAGAAGCTCAATTCATAGCCCATGACACCACCCAGAGCTCCTTTCCAAGATACAGAATTCCCTAAAAATTATAACTGCATATAGCATCTATTCTAAGGAGACAATTATACACAAATGTGTTTATAATAGCAAGAACCTTAAAATTACTGCAGAGCCCATCATCAGAGGACTTAAATAAATGGTGATACATAGATACAATTGATTACCATGCACCCATCTAAATAACCAAATCAGATCCTGATTGCTATCTATAATAATAACATAGACACTGGCCTAGCAAATGGTTAAGAGTTGGGGAGCAGGAAGGAATATTTCAATCTGTACAGAAAGATCCCTTTTATCTAAACGTGTCTATTTTTATCTATTCATGAATAAGTGCACACATAAATGTCTGACGAGAAAATGCTAAGTGACTGTCCCTGGGTGGAGGGACTTCAGGCAGATGGCCAGCCAGACCAAAGCCCTTCCTTAACACCCCTGTACTTTATAATCTACTAGGCAGCATGAGGCAGATGGGTATACACACTCAGGTTTACAAAGGTGAGGTCAGGCACCGGACAATAGGAGTTCAGAGAGCAGGTTCAAAGGCCGAGTAGGTGCAAACCCTTGTTCTACCACAGTAGTTGTGTTGACCTTGGACAAGTCATTTACTCTCTCTGAACTTTCATGTTCCCTATCCCACTCTGATCTGGTTGTTAAGAAAATTACATTTTAGAAAGAAAAGATTAGATATGAATGTGATACCATCCACACAGTGCTGGGCCCATAATCGGCACTTGGTAACTGTCAGCTGCTTGTACTAACTGGAAAACTTCCCACTAGCCGTTCACATGGCAAACACTATGTCTTCAATGACCCAGGCTCACAGAGCAAAGTGGGAAGGGAAAGGATTGCACACTTCAGACAAGCCCAATACCTGGTCTTGGAAAACCACATGCTTCTGTACGCCAAGGGGCCCCCCCTTCCCGGGAGCAGCAGGCAAGGAGTGCAGCAGCCGGCCGGCCGGAAAGAGGAGGAGAAGGCAAGTGCCTGAGGCTGCCCACTGTGAGTCAATGAGCCAACACATCTCATTCCTCTCCTCCCACCTTTCCTGCTGGGTTGGCTGGAACCGTCGTCCCCCCCCAGACACCAGCACATAAGGATCCTAGGAAGACTACTCAAAGGGCTTTGGAGATTATCTAGTGCCGCCTTGTTCATCCTCAAACACCAACCCACAAGACCAGAGAGGGGAAGGAATCAGAATTAGCAGGGAATGGAGGCGGCCAGCATCCAGTGTAAACTCACTCCGCCTAAGATTATCCCTCCCTTCTTTCCCTAGCTGTTCCTTCACATATTCTCATCTCTCTCATTTACGTCCCCTCCTCCATTACCTGTCAGATTCCTCCAGGCCCCGTTTCTCCTCTCGAAGCCCTAATGGTCCTTTATAGTTTTGTGATGAAGAGAGAAATCAGACTTACTTGAATGGCCTAGGAGAACTGATTTGTCTACCACTAAGTAAAATTCGTACAGCCATCCTCAGCTTCAGAGCCCAAATCATGGTGAGAACAAGAAGGAAAGGAACAGGAAGAGTTCTTAGCTATTCCCGAGCCCCCCTGATGACAGTGGAAGTTACCTGGAAACCACAGGAAAGGACCCTCATCAGAGAGAAATATCAGTAGGTTCAAAAAGAACCAACAGACTGCATCTTCTAGGTTCTAAGTGTGACCACGATGCAGGGCAGCCATCCACTCTCCCATGAGAGAGTCCTGACTCTCGCCAGTGACTGGACTAGGGCTTACCTTGGGCAGGCTGACTGGGGTCCTGGGCTTGGTCCTTGGGTTCTTAATCAAGAGCCTCTGATCCAGAGGGAGCAGATGGTATTTCATAGCCTCGATGAGGAAGTCTTTACAGGTGTTGTTATTCTTTATCAGAGCTTCTTCTTCAACCGTCTGGAGAAAATAACCCACAGGTGATCCTGGAGCAAAGCTCAATCACATTTGCCAAGCTTTCTCCTGGGCTGGGTCATTGTCTCCCACACTCACTCATGCCTGCATCACATCATCTCAGAACCCAGAGGACAGTGAGTTATAACTTCATGCTCCCGCATCTTAAGAGCACAATAGTGTAAACAATTAAGCACAGGCACCCAACAGACAGAGATTCAAAACTCAGCTCTGGCATTTAACTCATATAATCCTAAATTACCCAGACTGTAAAGTGGTATTTAAAGTATCCACAACCTGAAGAAAGTGGATGGTGCCCAGCTATCAGAAAGAATCGGGTCTGGGGTTTTTAAATGCTTCTATTAAAATAAACAACCATCTAAGTGGGGTGCCAGCCAAGCCCACACAAAAGAAGGGTACCAGCCTTTGTGATCCAAGGATTGTTAATCATCAAAGCCAAGATCAGAGGAGGGAATTGTAGGAGGTGTAGTAGAACTGAGCACTCAGTTTGCAGAAGGCTATGGATAGAAGTGAAAGCCAAAATCCATTCGCCGTTCCCTGAGAAATTAAGCCTCCATTGAAGTCCCTCAAACCACTGACCAGGGATGGGAACAACTTTGCCCTTACACAGAGTACAATTGAAAATGAATTAATGCAGACGGAAGATTAAATTTTTACATGTTGTCATTTGTTTTCCTTTTTGATCCATTTTTAGTTTGCTCTAGTTTTTACTATTTCTGCTTTCGTTTGGATTGAGGTTTTTCTGTATTTTATTTTGTTATTGTTACGTCGAGGTTTTTTTGTGTGTATAATTTTGTGTGTGTACAATTTTCCTTATATGAAATCCAGGATAGTTACATCTATAGTAACTAGAATAAATATTTACTTAGGGTTATGACAGAGAAGGTTGGGGGGAAATGGGGAGCTAATAACAATTAGTACAAAAATGAAGAAAATTGATTATGGTGATGATTGAACAACTTTTAGTATATTCTTCAAACCATTTAAATGTACATGGATCATATGTCAATAAAACAATTTCAAAAAGTGATCACCACCTCAGTGGTTTTGTTAGTTAACAACATGGATTTGAGGTTTAAGTGAGATTATGGAAATTAAAAGATAGCTCAAAACCTCAAAACTTGTGGGGGGTGGGAATAAAGGGGAGCTGATGTCAAGGAGTTCAAGAAGAAGAGCATGGGGGCGAATACCAGAACTGACAGCGATCACACCACTCATTTTAAAGGTGACTTAACCATGGGGGGGGCGGGGTGCGCGGGGCGGTGTCTAAAACTGATATGTAATGATTGCACAATTCTCTTTGATCTGGTTGAACAACTGAACTACTGAATTGTATGATATGTAACTTATGTGCCAATAAACTGTTAAAAAATAGAAAGCGTTTTAAAACTGATATGGTAGCAATTGTACAGCAGTGCTTGATGTGATTGAACATATGGAATGATATGATATTTGTATTAGCTCCGAATAAAATGGTTTTGAGAAAAAATTTTTAATTAAAAAAAAAAGGTATAGGGGGTAAAAAAAAATGAGAAAAAACAAACAAACCAAAAACTCACTGCCATCGAGTTGATTCCAACTCCTAGGTAAGCGTTGAACAGCCCTGTGGTTTTCTGAGACTGCAAATCTTTACAGGAGGAGAAAGCCATGAGCTACCCCGATGCATCTTCCACTATGCTCCAGCGCTCCAAAAGATAATTAGTTGTCTTGAAACCCTCTTCCTACATTCCTCCTGGTTTGAATGTATTATAGTATTTAGAAGCAAATAGATACTTGAAAGAGGGAGGAGAAGAGGGACAAAGAAGTAAGGAGAGAGGGAATGGAGAAGGGAGAGGAGAAGAGGAAGCATGAGAGAGAGATGGAAATCCTTAAGCCAGCCTCCATAAAACAGCATTAGGTAAAATGGCACCATGAACAGTTACAGTCCAGAAACCCAGAGGGGCAGCTCCACCCTATCCTATAGGGTTGCTGTGCGTCAGAATCGACTGGATGACTAAGTTCGGTTGGGTGTCTGGTTTTCCTTTGGTTCCTGCAGGAAGGATATGCTGCCACCGGGTGGCAGTGGTGCCACCCAAAGTGCACACAGTACAGTGCTTTGGAGAAACTTTCATTTGACCAACCCCCTTTCGGCCTGTGGTCAACAGGGCCACAAGCTGGACTTCAAAAGCACTAGCGAGGAAACTACATCTTCCACTATTACTGACGTTAATAGTAGTCACAAAAAGAGTTGGAATGCCAGCTAAGATGTACGGAGTATCTCTTTGTATCCTCACACAACCCTGTCAGGCAGATGACAACACTAACGCTAAGTAACTAGTTAAGTGTCTAGTCGGTGTGATAGGGCTGGGAAGTGACAGGACCTACTGCGGGTCCTCAGGAGCATCAACCTTACAGTTCTTCCAGACTCACTGAGACAGGGAGGCTGGCCCTCTGCCCCAGTGCTGCACGTGGCTCACATCCCGAGGGTTCCCTGCTGCTGGTCCCTGGAAGAGTACCTAACGCTATGTATTTGCTGCACTATGGCAGGCATGTAATGGGTAAACTGAGCACAGTATCAAAGGTGGCACACAGATTAGTGGGCATGTTTGCTGCAGATCCAGAATTGGGTTTAAGTCTGGATCCTGCCTCATACTAGCTCCAAACCCCCATAAGTCTTGAGGCTCAAATTTGTTCAAGGAGATTATAATCTTTGCCTCACAGTGCTGTTCTGAAGATTCAATGAGGAAGCACAAATTAAAATGTGGCCTATGCTTCTTGATTTGTTTCCCCCAACCCCCTTTCTCAGAAAAGTCGAAGCAGACTATATTCCGGGTCTTTGTGAGGAGCTGGGCGCGTTAGTCCTGACTTGGGTTCCAGGTGGGGTCATGGGGCTGCAAACCACCAGTCAATCGCTGGAAAGCACCAGCCCCGCTGAGGGCGTAAAGATTCAGTCTCAGAAACCCACAGGGGCAGCTCCACGCTGTCCTACAGGGTCGCTGTGAGTCAACTCCATGACAGTGAGAGACAGAGATTGTGGGAGAAATGGCAGCGAGTTGGGCTCCGGCTTACCTAAGCTTACAGCAAAAGGGGAACACAGAAGCATAATGCAAAGGAGCCTTCCTTTTACTGAACACAAGCTATGCCAGGCTCCAATGCTAAACATTGAATGCGCCGATTCATTTCCTTTAGGAGCCCTGGTGCCATGGTGGTTTTGCATTAGGCTTCGATCGAAGTCAGCAGTTTGAAACCACTAGCTGTTCCATGGGGAAAAGACGGGGCAGAAGCTCAGAGGGCCGTTCTACCCTGTCCTATAGGGTCGCTGTGCGTCAGTGACAGTGAGAGAGAGAACTTCGTTTGGTCCTCACAACAACCCTGCTGGGCTCTCTTATAATGGCCATTCTGCTGTAGAAGGAACTGAAGCGTGAAAGAGTCAAATCAGAACTCATCGTTAATAGGCAGTACAATGGGGACTGAAATACCCAAGCATTTTATTCTCAAATCTATGCTCTTACACTACCGTATCTCAGACGTCACCCAATCGGTTGGTGCCCACACACCCATCTCAAAGTCCTCATCAAACTCCTCAATCACTCCACACAGCAGCAGTGGCTGCCCACTATTCCAGGAGTCCTGAACGAACAGGAAAGTGCTTGATTCAGCACACAGCACTCACCTGGACTAGATAATCCCTAGGTAAGAGGGGGAGACGAACATGTTCCATGAGCTTGGCCATGTGTTCTAACCGGGTTTCTTTCTCATAATTGATCCAGGAAATCACAGCTTCAAACACCTAGGGAGAAAAACAACACGAGAAACTTCAGCTGTGAAATGAAAGATCCCAAACAATCTCCTCCACATGCAAATTAACAAAAATGCAACACGTCATCCACAAAGGTGTTTAGCCTGAAGTTCAATATTTTAAAATAAACAGAAGGGATTTATCAGATGGTCTCAGAGCATGATGATACATACCCACAATAAATACAAATACAGTGATAAGCTTGTATAATTCAAAGGTAAAGTCAGCATAGTTCATTGCCATACATGAATCATATCCGGTTGTTATTCAAGGACAGAATACAAAGCAGCAACTGTGAACCAATTTTATATAGACTGCATAAAAGAATCAGAAGCCTTGACTGCAATGTTCCCCCAGCTCATAATTTATCTTCCACAGATACAGTTAGTGCAGAATAAAAGACAGTGAAAGTAATTCCTCCTGAAGTTGACTATAATGGTGAATGTGACACTGAATGACAGAGAAGGGCAAACATCTCACCTCGGGCTTAACTTCTCCTTTGAGAAGAGCTTTCATTCTCACACCAATCAAAACTAGGGAGGAGACAACCAGGGCACAGTATAGCACCGATGAAACTCACAATACTCCTCTGGTTCCCTGAGGCTTCCTCACCCCCACTATCATGACCCCAGTCCTGCCTTTCACTGCGGGCCAGGCCGGAGCATGTGCACAGGTACAGATAAGATCTCATGACACATGGAATCCAGGTCAGATAAACCCCTCAGGAATAGAAATGGGAGCAGTGATACCAGGTGCGCAGGGGGAGAGGAGGGTAAGAAGGGGGAACCAATTTGATAATCGACACTTAACCACACATACCCCCAACCCCAGGGGGACGAACAACAGAAACCATGGGTGAAGGAAGACAGAGTTGGTGTAAGATATGAAAATAATAATAATTTATGATTTATCAAGGGGTCGCAAGGGGGGAGGGAGGGAAAATGAGGAGCTGATACCAAGGGCTCAAATAGAAAGGAAATGTTCAGAAAATGATGCCAACATATGTACAAATATGCTTGATACAATTGATGTTTGGATTGTTATAGGAGCTGTAAAGGCCTCCAATAAAATGATCTTTTACAAAAACAAAAAACCAGAGGACCTGGAACCCAAAGGAAAGAGCCAAGGTTTGGGTGTCCACTTTGCTCAATGACAAATCCCATCTGCATCACCATCTACCATCGACACACAGATACCATTCTGGGTGGGGAAGTCAGCACTGTGTGTGGAAACGCCGAGCTTTTAAAGGAGGAATGGGAAGACCAGGACAGCTCAGATGCAAAAGCAAACAAACCACACGTTGGTGAAGATTGTAGGGAAAGGAGAGCCCTGACGCACTGCTGGTGCAAATACAAAGTGGGACGCTGTTGTGAAAATAGTATGGCCGTCCCTCAG